CTACCCAGTGAAACGCCTTCAAGAAACAATTATAATATAAGAAAATAAAATAATACATCTAAAAATAATATAATCTAAGACATAAAATAAAATAAATATATATTTCTGATAGACAGTAGCAATGCTCAGAGATCGCTGAAAAAAATATAGTGTCTCTTTTCTCAGGTAAGGGTATGACCAATGCAAGACTTTATGTATTATTTTCTTTTTTGAAAGGGAGCTGATAATAACTTGCATCTTAAATAACAAAAGTAATCAATTTAATTTTAAAACTAATCCTAAATAAATCAATATCTTACCCATTTAATTTATTTTACTTTGGGAAGCCAAAGTGCTATTTAAAACAGGAGGGTGCATCAATGTGTTTTCAATTATTCACCAGCGACTGCAATGTCTTTGCGTTTGGATGTAGCAAGGGACCCAGGAAGTTGGACAAGCAAAGTCAAAAAGATTGCTGTCTCAAACAGTTTTGCTAATTTAATTTAAAAGTGTTAATCGTTACTAGTCAGGTATTGGAGCTACAGTTATACTGTAAGTGAAAGTGTTTGCCTCAGAAAAGTCCAAGCTCAAACTGAACTTATCACAGGATAAAAATTATGACAGTTGATCAACAAGAAGATAGCAAAGGATGGATATGAAGAGAAATGTAAACAGATATAAAACAGAAAGTAAGAGTATATTAAAGGTTGGGTGGACAACATGTCGCTGTAAAGTGTTTGGGGCAATTCGAGGGGATCACGAATGTCTGGATTGATCATATGGGAACTATGACTGTTTAAACAAAACGTGTGCAGCAGCAACTCTTTTCACCCTCTGTCTGAAACCAGAGCCCAGTCTGCTCTGATTGGTCAGCTGGCCGGCTCTGTTGTGATTGGTCAACTGCTTAGTGATGCCGAGCCCCTAGCCTATCATGAATGTATGTGGAGCGCTAGCCAATAGAAGTGTGAGTGTTACGCAGTGATGTCACTATGTTACTCAAGTAAACAAAGTAGTCCAATGCAGGCGTTTCAGGCAGGAGGGGAATGTATGGGAGAGAAACTCCCTCTGGTGGGAACTTTGGAATTTTAGCCTATGAAGACCATTTACATGCACTAAAAAAGGGAAACTTAAAAAAAGCAGAATAGGGTCACTTCAACATTTAACCATGATCACTGTCAAGTGTTTGGGGCAATGTCACTTATTTTCACACCCTGTGACAATTTCCTGTTGGAGGACAGGATGAATATCAGAACCCCTACTACCTGTTAGATAACGTGAGCTGTGCACAAATGATGATGAGGAAAAACCTGCTGCTGGACGTCCATGTACACCTGGGCAAAATAGTTCACAATAACAGGCCATGGCTGATTAATGCTGACAAGCCCTGACTTTTTATGGATGCTAATGGTGCAGTGAGTGTGTGTAAGTGTGTGTACGTGTGGTCTGATGCACTTGCTGTTGCTGCTACCCGTGTCCTTAGTCACAAACTCGTCGTTCCCAGCTCTCGTCTCTCCATAGCAACCAGGAGAGTCTGCAGTCAGGTAAACACATCTTAGAAATTATTTAGTGTAATGTTCAGATCATTTACTGATGGTTACATTTTAACCATAATGATCTCTGCTTTGCTACGCAGATAATTAAAACATATCAGAATGTACTGTGCCATTAACAGGTATGTGTAGAAATAAAATGAATAACTGTTAAGGGCTCATTAGGAGGTTTTCAACCGTATGATTGTATTGAACGTGATCTTGGTTTGAATGTAAACACTCAGACTAAGGATTATTTGACTCCCGCAACGCACAGTGTGGTCCCTGTTGTCACATTGAGGTCATTTGGAGCATAAGAAACTAGGGAATCCTAAGAAGGCCTCTGGGCATTTAGAGTAAGAGGTCCATCCATGTCTCAGAGGTATAAAATATAGTAAACACCCTGGTTTAACATGCAAGTCTTACAAGTAAGAAGGCTCATCAGGTTAAAACATATACACCGTATTTATGGACGATGACTTTTTTATTCCCTCTGTTATGGAAGCAAACAAGAGACAGAAGTATTTGAATTTTATCAGACACCGAATTTATAGCATTGAAAATAATTACTTTGAAAATCATATATCTGAATTTTTTTGCTCCGAATTTACCTATGTGAAATAAAAATGTAACAATTCAAGTTAAAAAAATTTGAATAGTCAAATTCAGATCCCAAAAATGCAAGTGAACATTTTTTGAATGCATATAAAATTCGACGTCAAAAATGTCAGTGTTTAAAATTCGATGTCCAAAATTGCGATGCAACATCATCCGGGCTACTCAGACAGGATAAGCAATCGAGCCCGAATGCAATCAAACCGACTTCTGGCCTATCAGAGCCAAGCGGCGAACTCTGAGACAGAGTGCGGTGAAGCCCAATGCTGCAAACTGTTGGCGATGGATGCAGATGGGAGCAATTCCCGTAGACCCTATGTTAAAATTTCCAACTTAACATCAGAAAATGAACATGTTTCTAGCCTGGATCCACAAAAACATATTCTGTATATAGTTAGATTCCCCCTTCATGACAACGGGACTGCTGCTCCTAGCTCCTCTGTCTCACTGCTAGCTCCGTTAGCTCCATTGGCTCCGTGATGCTACAGGGGCTCAGCTCATGAGGAGAACACTAACTCGGCCGTGTTTGTTGTGTTGGCTCCTGGTGGACTATTCGTCCTGCAAATATAGGATTTATCTGCAGTTAAAACAGACCATCCATGAATGCAGTTTCTTCGGTAAGTCAACCCTGCGTACTTTATGTTATGTTACTGGTGTTTTTATTAAGCTAACGTTAATGAATGTTTAGAGTTGGGTTAGCATTTGAGCAATCGGTAGCTCCATCTGTGCTAACGATGCTATGCGTAGCATCCAAGTTAAACGTAAGAGAGAAGTATAAAACATTAAGTGGGATGCTGCTGTATACCAAAAGGCTTCTGTGCGAGGTTGGTAAAATAAGGTCATCCTTGTACGTTAGATAGTTAGTTTGCTAGTTAGGTTACTGTATGCATTGTTAAGGTTAATTTCAATTCGCTATGCTCTACTATAGCATAAAATAGACTAGCTAACGTCAACGTATTGTTGAAGAGAGGCTTAGTGTATATTAAATCAACCTCACAATAAAATGTGTGAATCTTTAAAATATGAACGTCACATTTCAAGATGGTCCAGAAATAACGCTCCCTTAGATATTGTAATATGGTTTGTTGAACTGGAGTTATTTATTGCAGCTAACCGCATATCCGACGAACGACCCAAACATTGTTGTTTTTAATATTATTACCAATGCCTCTTTCAGTTGTATTATCATCACACTTGAGAAACAGACTTATCGTGGCTGTAGAACGGAACATGTAACTTAATGCCTGCATTTAAGGACGATGAATAGCGTGGTCAATGCTTTAGTTAGTGACAAGGAAATGATTTGTTTAAATATTAGATATGACGTTATCTGTGACTTCAGTGAACATTAAGCTTATCCATTGCATTGCATTTGTTGAATAGGTTTGTGTCTTACCCTTACGTGTGTGATACATATGAATATGGCATATGAAAACCTGATGAAAACAAATTAATGTGACTGACTCATGAAAAACTCATCCAAAGTAACAGTAAAATAAAAAGGATCTACACAATAATACTAAATCAAACTGATACAGTATAAGGACCAGTGGCGTCGCCTATTTTTTCTGTAGCCCCGGACAATTCTCCCTCAATAATATAATACATTAACCGTGCTTTACGTGAACTTCATCATGACACAAGAGAGGACGTAGGACTGTAATTTCCCGTGTTCAGTGAATGCAACAGAGGCATGACACCAGACCAATCAGAGAGTTGCATGGAAATAAACATGTGCTTGTGTCATTCAAGCTCGGCTCTGTGTGTGTGTGGCAATAGCGCATTTAGTGTGATCGAGAGAGAGAGGGACCGGTGCCAGCAGGGACCGTGTTGTTAGCATCTGGTTAGCTAGCTGCACTAACGGACATAAGGAGCTGTTTGTTCCCCAACAAGCTGGAGGAGGGTCCTCTCCTCTCAGACTGAGAGACTCAGGTGAGCTAAAGCAGGGGTTCCCAAAGTGGGAACCCCTCCCCCCCGCGGGTCGCGAGATGTTTTCAAAATCCTCTTGATGTGACCCCCCTGAGGTGTTTTTTAAAAAATGTTTTTTTTTTAAATATATTTTAAATAATAATAATTTGTATTATTATTAATAATAATAATAATAACGTGTGCATAGACATTTTGTATTATGTAAGTCTGTTTAATAGGTAAGCGGGACAAATAAAGGAATTTTGATTCTGACAGATTTACGACAGTCATTTGCAGCTCAAAGGTCACTTTACAGCACCACAGTAAATATCAGAGACGTAAAACACACATCAACTATACTAGTATATTTCTTCTGAACAGATCTTTAATACATTTTTCAAAATGAAACGTTGGTTAATACCAACTAGTGAGAAGGCAGACAGGCCAGCGGAGAAGGCAGCGGAGGAGAGCGGAGGAGAGCGGAGGAGAGCGGAGGAGAGCGGAGAGCCACCATCACAAAGGCCGTTGACTTCTTGCGCGGGAAGAGGAGGAGGAGACGACAACCGTAAGGCGGTCCATAACCAGTCAGACCAGCCTTCATCCAAGTGTTGCAAGTATCGAGAGGAATACATCCAGTACGGATTCACATGCCTCATTATCAATGAAGCACAACATCCCCAATGTGTAGTGTGCACTGAGGTTCTTGCACATGAGAGCTTAAAGCCCGTAAAAATGCTCAGACATTTAAACACGAAACACCCCTCTCTTGCTACTAAACCAGCAGATTTTTTCCGCCGAAAGCAGAGAGAATTGCAAGGCCAAAAGAAAGTTATAACTAAACAAGCAACAATCCCTACCAAGGCTCAAAAGGCATCATATGAGGTGGCATATTTAATTGCACAGGCAAAAAAGCCACACACAATCGGGGAAACCCTAATTAAACCTGCTGCTATCGCTATGAGTAGGGCAATGCATGGGGATAAACAGGCACGGGAGCTGGAAGCAGTGCCGCTGTCTGACGGGACCATATCCCGGCGCATCACGGACATGGCCCAGGATATCAAGTATCAGCTGATTGACAGAGTGAAGAAAGGGAAATATGCTTTGCAGTTAGACGAATCCACAGATATGTCAAACTCTGCCCAACTGCTTGTTTTCGCCAGATACAGTTTTGATGGAAAACTTGATGAGGACATGCTGTTTTGCACCCCGCTGGAGCTAAAGTGCACAGGCGAGGACATTTTCACAAAACTTGACAACAAAATAAAAGAAGAGAGACTGTCTTGGGATGAGTGCATCGCTGTGTGTACAGATGGTGCTGGAGCAATGCTGGGGAAAAAGAGAGGACTAAAAGCAAGAGTCTTACAAGTGGCGCCCCATGTTATCTTTACGCACTGTATTATCCACAGAGAAGCTCTAGCGAGTAAAACGCTTGACCCAGAGCTTAAAAGTGTTCTTGAGACGGCGATAAAAATGGTCAACTACATCAAATCCCGTCCACTCAATACCAGGCTGTTCGCCAATCTCTGCAACGAACTGGGATCGGAGCATCAGGGCCTGCTGTTCCACACAGAAGTCAGGTGGCTTTCAAGGGGAAATGTTCTCAGCCGCCTGTATGAACTGCTGGACGAGGTGCGCTTATTTCTTACGGAGCATGGGTCCCAGCTCGCTGACCACCTGACTGACCCTGACTGGTTAACAAGGCTGGCATATTTGTCTTGCATATTTGACAGACTGAATGGACTTAACCTGTCATTGCAAGGTGAAAACACAAGCATCATGTCTTTGAATGATAAAATCTGTGCATTCAAGAGGAAAGTGGATCGCTGGACTGCGCGAGTTGAAATGGGCAGGATTGATATGTTTCCTGAGCTGGAGGAATTCATAGAGGAAAATGATCTTAGTGTTAACTCTGTGAAGAAGTCTATCCCTACCCACCTGCAAGCCCTCCTGGAACACTTTAACAAGTATTTCCCAGAGGAAGCAGCTCCGGAAAAATATGACTGGATAAGATCACCATTTACCGTAACGACCGCAAGTCATCTGTCATCCGACATGGAGGACGCACTGACTGAACTGTCAAGTGACCGCACATTAAAGACAGCTTTTAATGCGAAGATGCTTGCTGAGTTCTGGATTTCAGTTGAGAGGGAATACCCACAGCTTTCCAAGGCCGCGATGGACGTTCTGACGCCGTTTGGCTCCACATACCTGTGCGAAAAGACTTTCTCGGCACTGACATACATAAAAAACAAATACAGATCTCGTCTAAACGTGGAGGATGATCTCCGAGTGGCCGTCTCCAAAATTAAGCCCAGGATGGATTTGCTGTGCTCCATGCATATTGCCCACCCGTCTCATTAGGTGAGATTAACGCTGAAACATAGCGTATTCCCCAAATGTAAATATGCACCACAACAATGTTCATATGTTTATTAGTTATTATTACCTTTTATGTCTTTAAAGTTTACACCGCAACAATGTTCATATGTTTACTACAGTTTATGTCTTTTAAAGTTTGCACCGCAACAATGTTCTCCTAATTCACATGGAGATTACTTTGACTCACGAGTTCTGCTGTTATCTTATATTAAATTGCTATATGTAAAATCATATCATGGTTGTCAGGCTGTTCTGTTCTTGTGTGTTGTCGTTATGCGCGTGTTTGGATATGCCTATTAGTGCGTGCGTCCTGTGCACACGTTTTTCTTTTTCTTCCAGTCACCACGTGATAGTGGGGGGTCGCCAGTCTCTGGCACTGTTATTTTGGGGGTCGCGGGCTGAAAAGTCTGGGAACCCTTGAGATAAAGGACTTTCTGAGTGTTTAGATAGTTCACTTTAGTCTTGCATTCACACCTAATAGTCCGCTTCTCTGGTGCGCACCAGACCACAGTTTGTTACATTGTTTCATTTTTCAGAAGGTTCGGTTTGCGTTCACACGGGCAAAACTCAGACGGACTATAAACTCATGTGCACGGAAATGCTGTTCAACCATTGGTCAGACATTAAGGGGATAAAAACGTAAATCCCGGCAATTTCTACCGGAGCCTCCGCCATGGAGCATTGACACTTTCGGCAGGTTATTCTCATGCTGCTGTTAATCTGGAGATCAACAGACACTAGCGGCCCGCGCATATGATTATAATCAAACAACGTCCGTTAAAAAACATTATAACATGAGAGACGTTCTGCAGTAAGGAGGGGCAGTTCACCGACGACAGGTGTTCTTACTTTTATGTAGTTGATGGAGCATTTTTACTTTACACGACAGTGTTCAAAACTTCCTTCTGCTTCACTCTTTAAATTAACAACCGCGGATGTCTTGAAAGACTCTTTCGCTAAAGATTTTTGAAGACATCCGCGTTCTTGTGACACGTAAATACTACGCTTCCTATGTTTTGGTGCGGACTGCGTTCACACCAGTAATGAACCGCTCCAGAGTTCGCTAGCAAGCGTTCCGAGACCACCTATTTTAGCAGACCAGAGTCCGGTTGTTTAGTTCACTTCAGAGGTCTCGGACTGTGTTCACACCGACCCAAATGAACCGCACCAAGCGGCTAAACGCACCAGGGTTAGATTCAACCGGACTATAAAAGGCTGGTGTGAATGCGCCGTTATCTCAGTGGGTCTCAAACGGTTTGGTCACAAATTATTCAAAAGATTATTTCCGCGGCACACCTTCATATGATCATTATAGTCTATATGGCAGTAAAACAAGAATAGAGTTTAAAAGGGGAGTGATTTGTAAAATATCCATAAAGAAAAAGAAAATCTGTTTACAGTTCTGTTTCATATGGGTGTTGAGAGATGTATCCATAGATCTCTTAATTTTGCTCTCAAAGTGCACCAGATTGATGCTTTTAACTTCAATATTTAAAAAAAAATCCTCCCGGGGGAGCATCCCCCCGGACCCCCCAATAGGAGGTGAGGTCCGCCCCCCACTCGTAAAAAATAGCACTTTACCCCTGCCTATATGCCGTGAGCTGATTATCGAGCAACTCTTGCATCGGTAATAACAATAAAACATATGATATAATATAATAGTATAACTTGTGTCTACTTTAAATAGTTTAACAACACTTAGTTATACTAGCATACTTTTACTAAAGTAACATTAACATGTTTAAATGCAGGGCTTTTGTAAGAGAGTATTTGTATAGTGTAGCATGGTCTACTTGACTTAGTTAACCGAAGTGATCGTAACGTTACTTTGCAAACCGTCCCCCCCCCCCCCCCCCCCCCCCACACACACACACACACACACACACACACAAAAGGACACGGTAACGTTGTGATTCACTTCAATTAATGATAACTACGGAGCTTGCTAATAGCAAGGCACACGGCTACTTCACTCAGTTAGCTAGCTAATGTAAGATACAAATGCTGTCGAGCCCTCACTGCTTGTAAAATAAATAGCACAAACTGACTACTTACCCGAGCCCCACTGTTCTCCGTCATTTTTCTTCCGGGTTGTTGTAATCACATGACAAAGCCGTGCTCTGATAGGCCAGAAGTCTGTTTGATTGCATTCGGGCTCGATTGCTTATCCTGTCTGAGTAGCCCGGATGATCCTGCATCGCAATTTTGGACGTTGCATTTTATACACCGACATTTTTGACTTCGAATGTTTTTCACTTGAATTTTTGGGATCTGAATTTGAACATTAAACAATTTTTAACTTGAATTTTTACATTTTTATTTCACATAGGTAAATTCGGAGCAAAAAAATTCAAGATTCATGATTTTCAAAGTAATTATTTTCAATGCTATAAATTCGGTGTCTAATAAAATTTAAATACTTCTGTCTCTTGTTTGCTTCCATACTCTGTCCCTGTAAGCCCACAAAGTGTGTTCAGTGAACTGAATAACAACATGAATTTGGTAGCCCAATTAAAATGTAATGCTCATCACAAATTTGAAAAACATGTTTGAATACAAAAGGTAACATGTTCTGTGCTTAGATCTTTATCACTAGTGAGGCAACGTTTGGCCTGATGGTGGCACAAGATTTGAAGCTGCAGTTTTACAGAAATGAATGCTAAGTTCTTGCTTAGTGTTTAGTACTGACAAATATGTTACCATATTAGGGTATTAACTAAGGTACTAATATGCCTGGTGACATTGGAATGTTGTCCCAACTGTCGTTTCTGTCAATAAAGTGTTATTTATTTAACCTTTATTTAACCAGGCAAGTCTCATTAAGATTAAAAATCTCTTGGCAGCAGCATAGTTAGAGAACACAAACAACAGACAACATATATAGTCACAATCAGTACTTTTGTTGTTTAGGGAGACCAGCTCCCTGAGTTTCACTTCGTATTGCAGTTGGTTCCAAGCAAATGGAGCATCGTAATTGAATGCACTTTTCCTTATCTCAGTGTGGACTTCAGGGACAGAGAAACAAGTCCTCAGAACGAAGCCGATGGGTCCCTGTTAGGGATGCTCCGATCAGGGTTTTTGGGGCCGATCGCCGGAATCAGAATCGGCCGATACCGATCGCCGATCCGATCATAAGGTGGGTGGGGCTATGGGGATCTTCCATTTAAAGTGATGTTTAAAACTCAGTTAATGGCGCTCATTTTATATTGCTTCAGTTTATAATCGTAACGGATCGAAAAGTTTAGACTCATTTTTCAATACATGATGCGCTTCAACAAACAACCAACAACATAATTATTACATTTAAATTAAGTACATTTTTCAAGTTTACATTAACTTTGGATAATAACACGGGAGAAATTAGCGGAAGCGCTCTCCCGTCAGTATCTCATGCAGCTCGCTGATCCAGTAATGATTGACCCGACCGTGAAGAATAAACATATTTATAACTAGTTTAGTTAGGAGCTGTAGGAGGGAGGGGGAGCGGCGCTGCGGAAGAGCCGAGTGTGAGTTGAGAGGTGCCTTTCTTCTTCCCTTTACAAGCTTCAAACATGTATTTATCGTGTGATTTTGGAAATAAAAGTTTCATATTCTGAAAGCCAAGACTTTGTTTATTTAACATCAAACATAACACCCGAACCCTGAATAACTAGTTTTTTTACACAAAACTATGTTTATTTTGAAATGAGCCGTTGCGACTTCCGACTGATTTCGATAGAGCGGGTCACATATACACATTGACTTTTTATATTCATATGAAGAACAACGGTCAGAAAATATGTTATCACTTTCTGTTTGGAAACAGATACAGTGTGTCCTGTGTTGTTGCTAGGCTATGAGGTAAACAGATATCTATCTGAACAGTTTTGGAAGTTCAGACTGTTGAAGTTTGAACATTAACTGTATCTAATCCAATCTCAGAATGATCAATCCAGGTGATGCAATTAGAGAAGGAAGGATGGCACAGAGCTCTTGTTCCACATCTAATCAGGATGGCAGGTATTAGGACAGGCCTGAGATGCATCCTGAGATAAGGAGAGGAAACAGAAACTCCTCCTATCCATCATTAATGGAGCTGTTTCTTTCTTCGGGTCAGAGTCTGCTCCAAAGTGCCTTTCACACAAAAAGGAAGAAAGACTATCAGGGGCAGTGCTACACATTTGTTTTAATTAATGGCGATTCATTTTTTCAACAGAAATAATTCTACAGGTTTATGTTGAGAAATAAGTTTCCTGAGGGTATCTAGCAACATCCTAAACATAGAATTATAATTTCCATGCGATATGTTACTTATCTTACTTACTTAATTTCTGAACTAAGGATTTTTTACCTCATCCATGTAACATTGTAAAACCTATGCCAACCATTTAAACAGAAGAGAGCAGATGACTGAAGGTAGTTTTTCTTTTATTTCATATGCGTTTGTCACTGCTAGATATATGACAAACGTTTATGGTGAGATGATTCATTGTTTCTTTGGTGTCAGGCAGCTATTTTTTAAATCAAGCAGAAGGCCACCATTGGACAGTCAGTCTGTTTAATAGGAAATGGACCACTTTTCCATTAAGAGTGATGGGTTAGCTGGGATATACTAGTGCTGCGCTATATTGTTTATCAAGAGAAGAATGGACCTCCTGCGCTCAGCAGTGCAGCTCATGGTGAACTCCATGTCCTTACACAAGTCTGTTAAGAACTGAATGAGGAAATACTTTGTGAGGACTGACTCTGTCTGTCCTGGTGCGTGGGACCACGGCCAAAAACAACAGCTCTCTTTGGCAGGAGTTTTGTAGCTGTGGGTCATTTTAAATGTTTCTGAATCTCAATTAAAATCAGAGGGATTGCTTGGCTGGCAGGTTGGTAAGAGACAGTGTGGTGAAATATTCTGATGTTTTATTGAGATAACATACAGTGACAAAGAAATAATCAGAGATATTGAAATGCCTGTTGGAGTGTCAGGCAGTACTTAGTTGTATCCACCATTTATTAATTTATTTAAAAAATAAAACAGCTCCAGCAACAGCAGAACAACTCTGGTTGGACAATATAACCTGCATTAAGGTTTATTTGATCATTTCTATAATATTTTCTAGAGTTTCTTAAAGTATTTGATACACTATAACGTCAGAACAGAGTTTGAAGGACAAAGAATATGTAATAAGTCTGCTTCATTCACCTTTTCATACATAATACCGCTCGCAGTTTGACATATTGCTCGTCTTGCTAAACTCTTCCAAAAAACTCCTGAAGCGTGTCTACATGTGAAGCAGGATAAAGCTTTTTGTATAAAAAGGTCCATCTTTCCTCTCCTTTTTCTTTTTAAGAAATACTATCTGACAACTTCTTCTGTGGCTTCTACTTATCTGAAACTGGATCGTTGGGAAATCCTAATGAAAGCCGAATAATCAACATCACGGATCTCTAACCTTAATTATATATTCACTAATTTACTTTGTAGACGTCCCTTGTTACCTATCTGCAAAACGCAAATGCTTCTTTTGGTTGCTATTCTGTTACACTGAAGTGGATAATATATGAAGCGCCTCATTCTGTCAGACGCTTCAGTGGTTTTCCTACGATATGTTGAAAGAAGAGTTGGGCACCAGTCTGCTGAGTAAGCAGATACAGGGCGATGATTCAGCAGAAGATGCTGTCAAACAAAGACTTAGCGATAGTTTTGAACTTGCGCAGGATAGCTGATCTTTGACCTTGTGATTCCTCACCTGTTTCGACCTCCCTTATAGAAATAGTGAGATCGTGTTTTCTGTGATCGTTGGAGTCATGAGCAAAGTCAAAGACAAGCTTTGTCCGCACCCCCCACCCCGGATGTTTCTCAGTTTACACCTTTTGATCTCAAGTGTCACAATCTTATGAAGGACCCAAATGCAGCACTCGAGAAACCACGGAGTATTGGCAATGTACTTTATTGGTAATAATACCAGAGCAGAGTTATACCGGATGATGTACAGGCAAACGAACCGGAGGACAGCGGGCAGAAGGTGAGTCAGGGCCGGGCAGAGGGTCAGGGAGCAGGCGAGGCGGTCAGCGTAGGTACAGGCAGGGTCAGACAGCAGGCAAGGCAGGATAGTCCAAGGACAGGCAGGATCAGGGATCAGGCAGAGCAGGTAGGTCGGGGACAGGCAGGGTCGGAACCGGGTAGGCAATCTGATGACAAACACGTGAAAGACTAGCATAAGGCAAAGTACGATCTGGCAACGGGTGTGTGTCTGGTGAGGGTTTAAATACTGGCAGTGAAGCTAATGGGTGCAGAAGAGAAAGAGAGTGAGCAAAAACGTGGGTGTGGTTAACAGGTGAATGGAAAACTACTGGTGAAAGATGGAGCAGACTGTGACAGAACCCCCCCCCCCTTAATGGACGGCTCTTGACGTCCCTAAACGCTAATCTACAGAGGAGGGTGGGAGGTAGGGTTAGTACTCATCTGAAAAAGTTCTTTCGGCCTCCTTCTCCTGCCCCCTGTGGGAATTGGCGTCCTCATCCGAAGCAGGCCCCTCGCTGTCCTCCTCGGAAGAGCTGACAGTATGTGAAGAGACTCTCCCTGTGTCTCTGCCCGTTGATGTGATGATCTTAGAAGGTTGCTCGGGATTGCGCTGATGGAACTCTCTGATGAGCCGGGGGTCCAACACATGACGAGCTGGAACCCAAGAACTCTCCTCAGGGCAGTAACCCTCCCAGTCTACCAGGTACTGGATTCCTCTCCCTCTGCGACGGGAACGAAGCAGTCGATGGAAGGTGTATGTAGGTCCGCCACCAATCATCCGGGGGGGTGGTGGAGGAGGGACTGCAGGAACCAGTGCACTCTCTCGGACAGGTTTGATCCTGGAAACGTGAAAGGTGGGATGGACCCGCAGAGTCCGAGGCAGTCTTAGCCTTACTGCTGCGGGATTGATTATCCTTATAATCTCAAAAGGTCCAATGAACCTCGGTGCAAGCTTTTTGGACTCCACCCGTAAAGGAATATCCTGGGCGGACAGCAATACCTTTTGGCCCACCTGGTAGACGGGTGCCTTGGAACGTCGGCGGTTGGCAGAGGAGGCGTACCGGTTGGCCGAACGAACAAGAGTTATTCAGGCTTGATTCCAGGTCTGGCGACAGCGACGGATGAAAGCCTGGACGGACGGACAGGTAACCTCCCTCTCCAGGTCCGGAAACAGAGGGGGTTGGAACCCGTATGCACACTGAAATGGGGACAGCTTGGTGGCCGAACTGATCAGCGTGTTGTGGGCGTACTCGACCCAGAGCAGTTGTTTAGCCCAGGCCGCTGGGTGCTTGGAGGCTATACAACGTAAAGACGTCTCCATCTCCTGGTTCTTCCTTTCAGTCTGACCGTTGGATTGAGGATGGAAACCGGATGACAGACTGACCGTGGCCCCAATGAGCGTGCAGAATTCCCTCCAGAACACCGAGGTAAATTGGGGACCACGATCGGAAACCACATCAGTAGGTAGCCCATGGAGCCGGAACACGTGGAACAGGACCAGCTCCACCGTCTCTTTAGCTGAGGGGAGCTTGGGAATCGGCACAAAATGAGCCATCTTACTGAACCGGTCTACCACCGTCAAGATGGCAGTGTGCCCGTTGGACGGTGGAAGACCAGTAACAAAGTCCAGAGAAATGTGGGACCAGGGGCGATGAGGGATAGGCAGAGGTTGTAGGAAACCAGCAGGAGCTTGGTGAGAAGACTTGTGTTGATTGCACACAGGGCAGGCATTAACAAATTCCCTGGTGTCCTCCTTAAGTGTTGCCCACCAAAACCTTTGCTGGACTACCTCCCGGGTACATTGGATACCAGGATGGCAGGTGAGTCTGGAGTTGTGGGCCCACTGGATAACATCAGACCTCAACATCTGCGGAACGAACAGGCGGTTCGGAGGACAGGCAGTGGGTCCCGGCTGGTCCTCCAGGGCGGCCTTGACCCTCTCCTCCACTGCCCAGGTGAGGGCGGCGACGAGCTGAGGAGTCGGAAGGATGGTGTCCGAGCCTCTGGGAATGTTCCTTCCCTCCCCAAACTGACGAGACAGAGCGTCAGCCTTAATGTTCCGAGAACCAGGGCGGTAGGAGAGGGAGAAATTGAACCGAGTGAAAAAGAGGGCCCATCTAGCCTGTCGGGAATTCAGTCTGCGGGCCGACCGGATGTATTCCAAATTCTTGTGGTCGGTCCACACCAGGAAAGGTTGACTGGTCCCCTCGAGCCAGTGACGCCACTCCTCCAGAGCCAACTTCACTGCTAGCAGCTCCCGGTTTCCTACATCATAGTTTCTTTCCGCTGGTGTCAAACGCCTCAAAAAGAAAGCACAGGGATGTAGTTTTTGACTGTTCGTTGCTCACTGAGACAGGATGGCCCCTACCCCCATATCAGAAGCATCCACCTCCAACACAAATTGTCTTTCAAGATCGGGTACTCGGAGGATGGGGGCGGAGGTGAACCTGGCCTTAAGGTTCTGGAACGCCTCCTCAGCCGAGGAGGACCACTGGAACATAACCTTAGAGGAGGTCAGGGCTGTGAGTGGAACGGCCAAGGTGCTGTATCCACGAATGAACCTCCGGTAGAAGTTGGCGAACCCGAGGAACTGTTGTAGCCGCTTCCGGGAGTCTGGAACCGGCCAGGAAGTGACTGCCTCAACCTTGGAGGGTTCCATCTCAATGCTCCCCTGTCCCACGATGTATCCCAGAAAAGAGACAGAGGATGTGTGAAACTCACACTTCTCCGTCTTAACAAACAGCGAGTTCTCCAGTAATCTCTTGAGAACTGCCTGGACATGGTGCACGTGTTTTTTCAGAGTCTTGGAAAAGATCAGGATGTCATCCAAGTAAATGAATACATGCCGGTCCGATATGTCACGGAGCACGTCATTTACCAACGCCTGGAATACTGCAGGGGAGTTGGTAAGTCCAAAAGGCATCACCAGATACTCGTAGTGCCCCGAGGCGGTGTTGAAGGCGGTCTTCCACTCATCCCCCTCGCGAATACGTACCAAGTGGCACGCGTTACGCAAGTCCAGCTTGGTGAATATGGTTGCTCCCTGCAGCAACTCGAATGCAGAGGAGATAAGAGGCAGTGGGTATCGATTCTTTATAGTAATGTCATTAAGACCCCGAAAGTCGATACAGGGCCTTAGGGTCTTGTCTTTCTTCTCCACAAAGAAGAACCCCGCTCCAGCGGGTGATGAGGAAGGGCGAATAATCCCAGCCGCCAGAGAGTTATTGATATAAGTCTCCATGGAAACTCTTTCCGGAGCAGACAGGGAGTACAATCGACCCCTGGGAGGGCTGGTGCCGGGATGCAGGTCGATGGCACAGTCGTAAGGTGTGGTGGTAGGGAAGTAGCCCTCGTCTTGCTGAATACTTCCTTGAAGTCCAGATATTCCGGTGGAACTCCTGTAACATCCGGAACTTGACTGGGGTTCCCCGAGCGCTGAGGCGCGGCAGCCTGTTTCAGACAGATCTGATGACAAGAGGGGCTCCACCCCAAGATGGCTCCCGCCTCCCAGTCAATGTTAGGGTTGTGGCGGCGGAGCCATGGGTAACCCAGGATAAGCGGGATATGTGGAGACCGGAGAACATGAAACTGAATAGTTTCGTGATGGTTCCCGGACAGGAGCATGTGAACGGGTACAGTCTGATGAGTCACTGTCCCCAGCAGGTGACCGTCTAAGGCGCTGGCTGGAACTGGGCGAGATAAGGGAACCCGGTCTATTCCCAACTGCAGCATAAGCTCTTCATCCATAATACTCGCGTCCGAACCAGAGTCAATAAAAACTACAAGAGCCTGAGAGCTATCCGGTAATAGCAACCTGGCGTGGCTCAATGGTCTCTGAGCGGGAACAAATCCAGGGGTTTGGCTCACCAGTATGTTCCCCATTACTGCTGAGACCTGCCTTGTACTGGGCAGCGAGAAACCAAATGGCCAGCCCGGCCACAGTAGAGACATAAGTTACTTCGTCTGCGATGTTCACCTTCCTCCAAGGTGAGGCTGGTGCGACCCACCTGCATGGACTCATCACCCCCTGGTTGCGGCTCTGGAGTGAGGGGAGGAGTACCAGTCGTACCCGGATGTCGGGGTGCCCAGGCATGTTGAACTCCCTCCGATCGTCGCTCCCGTCTCCGTGTCTGGATGCGCCGATCAATGCGGGAAGTCAGCTCAATCAGCCCATCTAGTGAGTTGGGCAGATCAAAAGACACCAGCTCGTCTTTAATGTAAGCCGCCAAGCCACGCAGATAGGCGTCACACTGGGCTGCAGAATTCCAGTTGCTGAGGAGGCCCCTGGTGCGAAACCCAATAGCATAATCCACCACAGATCCATTACCATGGGTCAGGCTCAGTAGTCCTCCTGCAGCGTCTGGACCCACAGACACGGGTCCAAACACCTTGCGGAGCTCCGCGGAAAAAGCGGGGAAAGAAGAGCAGGCGGGTGTCTGCTGCTCCCATTCAGCTGTGCCCCACAGTCTGGCTTTCCCAGTCAGATGATTGACCGTGAACGCCACACGAGCTGCGTCAGAAGCGAAAGTTTGTGGCTGCAGCGCGAACAGGATAGAACAGTTAGTAAGAAACGGGCTGCAGCCCTCCGGTTCCCCGGCGTATCGCTCCGGAGTTCCCACCCGAGGCTCTGGAGTAAATCACATCGGAAAGGATGCAGAAGCGGGGGCCGGCGGCATGGGAAGAGGCGCTGGAGCAGCCACTACTGCCGCTAGCTGCTGCACAGTAGCCGTTAGCTGCTGTAGCTGCGCAGCTAAATAGGTTAGCATCTGGTCGTGTGTAGAGTTAGCATGATGAGCCTCGGTGGCCAGGGAGGCTATCGAGGCTTCCTGCCTCTGGAGAGCGTCCTCAACTCTCTCAAAACGGTCTCCACTGCAACGGGGTAGCCCCGTTTAAGCGTCCCTAAGCGTCCTCGCTCAGGCCTCGGTCTGCCTCGCTGGCCGTCCGAGGCCGTGGCGCATTTCCATTACAGTTTAGGACCTGGGGTAGCAACGCAGTGTAGGCGGGGCGATCGGCTTTGTTTTTGTTCACATTTCGAGTTGTTCCGTCGAGCTCCCGCTGGATTTGATCATCCCCAATGAAATGTAGGAACGTCGTCACCTCCTCGGTCGACCACGGTGTGCTTTTCTTATTAGACGTAGCCATTTTTGTAGCTCATCCGTTTACAAAATGCTGTTTATAAAAATACTGCAAGCTTGCTTCTAAATATATATGCGACGCTAGGGATGAACTCGCGCGCGATCTTGTGACGATTCTCTCTGACCAATCAGCAGTCGAGAGGGTTGACGTCACTAGTTCAGCCCTGGCCCTGGTCTGATAGAACCACGATTTTATGGGGCCGGAAAAAGAGGGAAAAAGTACCCGCTAGCCGGTACTAGGCTATATGGAAAGGCCACCAAAAACTGGCCTGGCCGCTTGAGGACGGTTAAGGACGCTTAAACGGGGCTACCCGCTGCAGTGGAAATGCGCCATAGGTGAAGAGGAGTGCGCTGGGTCCATGTTCTGGCCAGATCGTTCTGTCACAATCTTATGAAGGACCCAAATGCAGCACTCGAGAAACCACGGAGTATTGGCAATGTACTTTATTGGTAATAATACCAGAGCAGAGGAATACCGGATGATGTACAGGCAAACGAACCGGAGGACAGCGGGCAGAAGGTGAGTCAGGGCCGGGCAGAGGGTCAGGGAGCAGGCGAGGCGGTCAGCGTAGGTACAGGCAGGGTCAGACAGCAGGCAAGGCAGGATAGTCCAAGTCAGGCAGGATCAGGGATCAGGCAGAGC